CCCTTCAATTAATCCCACATGTGTTTGTGGCCAGGTTGGCACAATAAACTAACTACCTCAGTAATCAAACAGAATGATCAAACAGTATCATTAATATCACATGCAAATAAAATTTTGAAGAAGGCAATTAAAAAATAATTGCAACAGAACAGCAATGGGGAACTACCAGAAATTCAAGCCAGATTCAGAAGAGGATGAGGGTTATCATTGCTGATGTCCAGTGGATTTTGGTCAAAAGCAGGGAACACCAGAAAGATGTTTACCTTTTTCTGACTACACAAAGGTATTCAACTGCGTGGATCATAACTAATTACTGATAACAGTGTAAAGAATGAGAATTTCAAAACACCACTGTGCTCACTAGCAACCTGTGCATTGACCAAGCGGCAGTCATTCAAACAGAACATGGGGATACTTAGTTTAAAATCAGTAAAGGTGTTTGTGAAGGTCCTATCCTTTCACTATACTATTTGTAGCTCATCATATAATCTGAGAAGCTGGTTTATATGAAGAAGAATGCGGCAGCAGGATTAGAGGAAGGCTTATTTACAACCTGATATGCAGATGGTACAACCCTGCTTGGTGAAAATGAAGAGGACTTGAAGCACTGATGAAGATCAAAGATTACAGCCTTTCAGTATAGATTTACAACTCGATATAAAGAAGACCAAAATCATCACAACTGGACCAATAGACAACATCGTGGTGAATGGAGAAAAGATAGACGTTACTAGGATTTCACTTTACTTGGATACTCAAACAATGGTCATGGAAGCAGCAGTCAAGAAATGAAACTGTATTGTATTGGGCAAATCTGCTGCATAGGACCTATTTCCGTGCTGAAAAGTCAAGATCTTACTTTGAGGACTAATGTGTGCTTGACCAGAGTCATGGTATTTTCAATGCCTTCAGATGCATGTGAATGCTAGACAATAAAGAAATATGACCAAAAATAATTGATGCATTTGAATTATGTTTGGTAGAGGATTAGTGAAAAAGAGAAAAAACTTGAATGGATTAATACAGTGGCTACAAAAATAGGCTCAAACATAACAAAAATGATGACGAACCAGGCAGCGTTCATTCTGTTGTTCATAAGGTTATAATGTCACCAGAGCTCCTTTTTAAACCATGAGAGGGACATTGGGCCTCCACTCATGTACTCCCTCAATGCAAGAATACTTTCTTCTATTAAATTGGCATTCTATGATGCTCACTTTCCCAACACACCCACTGAAGACAAAGC